GAGGTATCTAGGTAATAACAGTAGGTACCTATGAAAATCCCACATAATATACCTAGTTTGTCTGCCGCAAAAGTCGTGTAATAAATAATTAAACTGTTTTGTAAATCTTTATTGATTATTTATTTATTTCTAACACTTGTATTGAGAGCCATGGTAGCTCAGACAGTTAGCGCTCGCTGTATATCTGCCAGCAATATCTAAAATCTTAGAGAAACTACTTAATACTAGACTACTAAATTACTTAAATAAATTTAACAAATTATCATCTTCACAATTTGGTTTCAGGCGGGGAAAATCGACAGAAGATGCAATCACGGAGTTAAGCTCTTTTGTAACTAGGCAACTTGACAACAGTAAAAAGTGTCTGTCGGTTTTCCTCGATCTGAAAAAAGCTTTTGATACTGTGTCCATCCCCATCCTTGTGCATAAACTTGAAGATATGGGAGTAAGGGGGACTCCGCTTGCCCTTTTTCAGAGTTACTTAACGGACAGGAGACAAAGAGTAAAACTAAATGGTTGCACTAGTGAAGCTGTTGAAGTGACGTATGGCGTGCCGCAGGGCAGCGTTTTAGGACCTACCCTCTTTCTCATCTACATCAACGACCTATGTAGCATGAGGATCTATAACGCCAGAGTTTTGTCATACGCTGATGATACGGCTGTAGTATTTGCCGGTGATTCTTGGGAGGTGGTCAAAACTAGTGCTGAGGCTGGTCTGTTGCGAATCGCTCAGTGGCTGAAACACAACCTCCTGACCCTAAATACTTCTAAAACCAACTATATATGTTTTAATACTAACAACAACTAGCAACCTCAGGCCGACTTCAGTTTAAAAATTCATGAATGTACAACGGATACTAATAAAAACACCTGTAACTGCCCTAGGATCGATAAGGTAGTTCAGACAAAATATCTGGGAGTAATTGTAAACCAAACACTATCATGGTACCCACACCTTGATCATGTCATCAATAGAATGAGGAAACTAACTTGGATCTTCAAAACCCTCAGACATGTAATGCTGGGCAAATCGGATGAGGACTCACCAAATTATCTCCTCAATCAAATCTACATTGCTCTTGCTCAATCCGTCTTGGACTACTGTATTCCTGTCTGGGGTGGTGCAGCAAAAACTCGATTTCTGGAGTTAGAGAGGGCGCAGCGTTCTCTTATTAAAGTTATGTACTTTAAGAAGAGACGCTTTTCTACCGATTTTCTATTTCGTATCAGCGGTTTACTCTCTGTCAGGAAGTTGTATATATTCTGGACAACCCTCAAAACTCACAAATCATTGCCTTATGATCCATGCCATTTAAATAAACGACGTAGAAACATGGTTGCCCAGACATACAGAACTAAAACCACATTTACGAGCAGACAATTTACATCGCGTTCTGCCTTTCTTTATAATAAAATAAACAAAGATTTACAGACAACTGTAAAAAACTTTTGTTAGAATGGATTCATCATAAGACATATGACGAAATTGAGAAGCTACTGGATTGTGTAGCATGATTTGTTCAGATTCAGACACTGTAATCACACATACTCTTTTTAATTCACGCAAGCATAGACACAAACACACACACACCCACCCACACACACACAAAACCACACACACACACACACACACACACACACACACACACACACACACACACACACACACACACACACACACACACACACACACACACACACACACACACACACACACATAAGTAATAGAATTAATATAGAATTTAAGTAATATATAACATTAATATGGATATAGAATATGTTTATCCATACTGCCTTGTAACATGGATATAGTAATGGAAGGGCGGACCCTCCAAACACAGGCATTATTTGCTTAAATGGAGGTTCCAATCTACTAGTTTTTAAGGCATTTACTTTTTAAAAACGAAATAAAATATAGTCGTGAGATTTTATGTATATAACATTTTCTACCAGTGAGGATCTTCAATTGGCTTCGCTGTAGCTATTAAGTATTATATATCTTAGTTATATCTGTTGGTCTTCCAAATAAAATAAAATAAATAAAAACAAAAAGTCCAAAGTATCACATTACGTGAGCAACCCGGGTTCGATCCCCGCCGCCACCAATGACATTGTTGCAATTTTATATAGTAATCATATTTTATATACTCTCTCTCCTGATCTGTAAACTTATGACCACCTTTATTACATTGCGTTGCTTATAATTTCGCTTATAATTTATCTAGTAGATTGTTCTTCTTTCCTTTTCTTCCAACAACAACACACCTACCATCAAGCAATATAATAAGGGAAACCTGTAATTGGCCATACTTTTAGCTTGTTACATTAATGTAAATATTTACTATATACGCTGTTGGTTTTCTAAATAAATTAAATGAATAAATAAATAGACTTTACTTTTTTTACTTTTATAATTATATTATATTACGGACAAAAATTAAAAAAAAATTTGTATGTCGTCCAAAACGCATCATCTCTTTCAATTATATCAATTTCCATGCCATTTGGCGTCCAAATAACAAAATAGCAAAACTTTTCGTTTCGAATAAAACTCGATTAAGCGCGCGTCACCGCCCATACATGTGAACGTCGTCCTCCCGCACCGCACCGGGAGAAACATTATTCAGTAAGATGGTAAGATGCAAGATAATTCATAGAAAAACTCGCTCGTAAAAAATTACGAAACGGCCTTTGGAAAAAAGGGTTTTATGAAAAAACCACTGCATTAAGCAATTACCAATAAAATTAATTGAATTCTCCGATAATTAAGTTTTGTCGGTACCGACTTTGTTTTAGAACTTTTACACTTCTTTTATTACTAATTTACGCCCAAATTTGTGTTAAAATTGGCAATAAAAATGACTGTTTGGTAGCTCTTAACTTTTTAATGACATTTTATTTTACTATTCTGTTTCCGTACAGACAAAACTAATAATGAGACAAAACGATATCATGTTTAACTTTGGATGTACACTGTCAAACAGCGGAGTAATACCCCTCCGAAATTTCTATGGAAATAATGTCGACTGGATATGGAATAATGTGTACCGTTACTGTTACATCCTATTAAGGTGACACTCACCTTAATAGGATGTAACAGTAACGGTACACATTCAAAATTAATGGCTCTTTCATAGTCGCCCATAACAATTTTCTTTGTTTTCTCTATCACTTTGGCTCAGTGATCGCTTGTATAGTGGTTGTATTTTCTACAAATCTTCCTCACGCGGACTCCACATGGCAAATAATGAGCTGCCCACCTTTTTCTACGGGCATGTGTCACCTGTCCATGTCTGCGGCACAGTGTGGTTGGTTGCTGTTTAGCTATGTTTCATCAATTAATATAATGTTACGAGCTAGGGGTTCGAGACAATTCAAAACTGCCGAGTGTTAGTTCTAGAAAGTTCTTCCATGGAAAGGTTCTTGACTCTTCTATTTCTGCTACTCGATACTAGAGGGTGCTAGTGGTAACTAGTATTCCCATGTACCAGGCATTAATGGTGGCGCTCAACAATAACGTTGTTCCAATTGGTCATATTTTTTATTTCACGTAAAAACGTTATTCTTTGCATTCATTTCTCTCTTTTTTTTGTATCCGAAGCCAATTCCTTTTCTAATGGTTCTTAATGACTCCAGACTACTATTGTACGAGCCGGTATCTTCTTAACTTATTAGCTAGTAACTTCGCCGCTTTGGGAGTCACACGATATATAAAAAAATAGATTGGTTTAATTTATGATTCATATAATTCTTGCAAGTCTAAAAATAAATTTTTTAATATGCAAATAATTAATTAAAAAATGTAATATTAAAAAAAGTTCCATTATTTGAATATTTTTACCGATTATTCGCATTAGAATGGATTTGAAGCATCCAAGCACTACGGTAAGGTGCATAACGACATATCATTGAAACAACGTCAAACATAAAAATTGATACTGATTTTTTTTTAATATTTTGCTTTGTTTGAAAGTTTCGCATTTTAATTATGTAGTGATATAGAACTATATATATTGTAATAAAGTATAGATAACTTTACATCTCTTTAGGATTTACGAAAAACGTTATTTTAAATCGTGTGAGTACGCTTGTACAAAGTTATTGTGGAATGATTAATGTGAAACGTCAAAAAAAGGTATTTCTTGGTCGAGTATATGGAGTGTAGAGTAGAAGGAGAACCATCTTATAAGGTGTGAAAGTTGAAAAAGTGTCCCAATATATACTGAAAATAGAGGTTCCAAAACCTACCACAATAGCGCTGGCGTCTGAAAAACTACGATATGAATATAGCTGTTGTAGACGGAGTGAAGTCAGCTGAATTAAAATATTTAAAAAATTTCATGAGTAGAGTAGTTAGTAAAATGCCAGTATACAAAACCTCAACTATTTACGTAGTACAAAACCAAGCGGATTGGTCGGTCCTTGTTTATTTCTCCATCTTATTCTAATGAATTTTGGCGCTTTTATTTTTAATTTATCCTATGCTACTACAGCGCACCCTTATTGGACGCGTTTTTAGGGACACTTTTCATATACAGAGATGGTCCTCCTTCTACTCTACACTCCATAGTCGAGTATAAACTGAACTTCAAATATTTGGACTGAAGGACTGTAACCTTGGTCATGTAAATTATTAAAAAAAAATGTCAAACTGTCACTCACTCAAATTCTATATATAGTCTAACCAATGAAAAAGAGACATTTGTATTACTTTTTCTCCTATTAGATGTTTTCCTGTCGTGGACTTCACTTATTGGTCAATTTTACATTATAGTGTAATATTGTCCAATAACAAGGAAACGTGTAAGCTTGAAATTGAAAGAAGTGCCGACTTCAACAGACAATACATGCATTTAAAAATTCAATTCAATTGATTAGTACAGTTGTAGGTTGTTCGGAAAACGAGTCGATCCCAGCGAAGATTGTCGGCTTCGCCGGCTTTGTTTTGTTTTAATTTAAAATAGATTTTATATCACAATAGAAGACGCACTTTCGACGTTATGAAATACTTTTTGTTGGTATCGTTGGGCGTCCTGCTCATTTCAGGTAAGTTTTATTCACTAATTTCATTGTCTACGTTGCATGCTTAACTTTTCTCCGCTTATCTTTCTACCCAATAAATAGCTACCTTTTTGACTACTACATTACACTACTTTCGTAGCTGTAAGAGAATCCACTAACACTATATGGATGATATTGTGGGTGTCATAAGAAGCCACAGGGAAATGAAACAGGAGATGAGCAGCAGCATCGTCCTGTAAACAACTCATAATTTAAATAAAACCGGTTGCCAAACCGTCTGCCAAGCGTGCCAACTATGGCAAATATTCAGCAGTGGACTTTTAATAGGCTGTAATGAATAATTGAATAGGTGAACTGCACTTGTTTTTTAATAAAGCATTGTCATAACCTATAATTTCGATAGAAATTTGTGTTGTATGTATTGTGAATTGCACAAAAGTTCAAGTTATCTCATATACAAAAATGTTGTGTTAAGAGTGAGGGTAGATAACTAATAATCGTAAAAACTCCTCTCATTAAAGTAGTATAAAGAACTGTACAGACAACTAGGTAGGTCGTTCTACAAGTCTTAAGAGGAAATACGGGTGTTCTTATCTCCATGAAAATGCTCTTGCCTCTTTTCTTTATGGTTTACGATCTTATAGCAGTGAGTTTTTACAGTAAAATAAATATCAACCTCTTCTGTGTCCCTGTATTTTCCTTTTTGATGATTAATTATCTTTATAAGTATTAGAATCCTTACAAAATACTCAAAATTGCTTATTTAGACCGCTGTCAACAGAGGTCTAGTGTATAAATTTGATAACTAAGAAGGAAAAAAACAAACAGGGATACAGTGTGTGTTCTTCTATTCAGTTTATGAAATATCTTTTAATTTGGTCCAATATTGGAGGAGGAAATGGTAGCGAACCACACCTCGAATTATGCCTTTTCACTTAGGCTATTCAGTTGGATCTGCAGTTGTCCTTATTGGACGCCGAGAGCTCGCAGAGCAACAGCAATAGTATCTTCAAATACCTAATTTTCAAATCAGCCCACATTTCTTCTGTATTGTCGTTGTCATTTTGTCCATTGTCATTATTCTATTAGTACCAGTAAAATAGGTGATGTTGCAGTGAGGCTGCCCAATGTCAAATTTTGATGGGATGGTGTTACTGTTGGCTTGCAAATTTAATATTTTGGTCCATGTCTGTGAATGGTCCATGTCATGAATAGTATTGTTTTTTGAATAGTTATCATGAAATTAAAAAATAAATGTTTTTTCTAGGATGGTCCCATGCTCAAGATGAGGGAATTGGTGTTGGTACTGTTGAAGAAGTAACTGTGGACTCTGATCTTGGTGCATCCCGTGAAGGCTCACGCACAGGTTTGTTTATACAAAAAAAAATACTGCAATATTGTAATCTAGGGACAGACCAGCTTAATATCAAGTTTTGCAGTTTGATATCATATATAGTTTGATATTTGAGATAAGACGAATGAGTTGATCGAAATAATGAAAGAAAGAGAATTAGATGTCGTGTGTATGTCGGAGACCAAACGGAAGGGCAGTGGTACTGAAGAGCTCCCTGGCGGGGCGTTTGCTCTATGGTCCGGAGTCCCGGAGAGCGAGAACGCCTGCCAGGGAGTGGGGGTGCTGCTGTCTTCTCGGTTGGTCGATGTTATGACTGAATATAAGTTTGTGAACTCAAGACTTCTCTGGGTTCGCTTTAAATTGGGACTGACGAAGTTATTCCTTTTGGCTGTTTATGCGCCGGTGGCTTCGTCGTCCAGGGCTGAGCTGGAGGAGTTTTGGGAGAATGTAAGAGAAGTTCTAGATTTGGCTAGGGGAAATGAAAGGATTGTTGTATGTGGTGATTTGAATGGATGGGTTGGTACCGCTCAACCAGGGTACGAGTCGGTACTTGGAAAGTTTGGCGATAAAAGGGTTAATGATGCTGGCAAGCTTATACTGGCGGTATGCAAGGAAAAGGGTCTTCTTGTGACAAACACTATGTTTAATCACAAGAAAATCCATATGTATACTAGAGAAAGAAAGAATGAGAGAAGTATGATCGATTTGTTCCTGGTGGATGACCGACTGCGAAAACAGGTTATGGATACGCGAGTGTTCAGGGGTGCTGACCTGGGAACGGATCACTATCTAGTGATTACTAGATTTAGGGGTCTGTTCGCGGGTTGGCGCTACCGGACGACAGTGACAGAACCACAGTCGGTCTGTCGCATCCGAAGCTGGAAGCTTCAGGAAGCGGATACTAGGGACAAATATCATGCGAGGGTAGCCGAAAAGCTTGACACCATCGATGGCAGAAACGAATGTGTAGAAAGAACATGGCAGAACCTTAGGGATGGAATGGTAAGTGCAGCGGAAGAAGTGTGTGGAACAATAAAAAGAGGCAGTAGTAAAAGAAGAGATGCATGGTGGAATGATGAAGTGAAAGAAGCTGTAAAGAAGAAGAAGAAAGCATGGTTAGACTACTTGGCCTCTAGTAATGATAAGAATATGAGAGAGAAGATGAAAGAAAGATATAAGCTGCAGAAAGTTCACACGAAAGCATTGATTGAGGAAGTGCGTGAAAGGTGTAGAATGGAAGCGGATGTAAGGTTGTCGCACAACTTTAAGGAGAACTCCAAACTCTTCTGGAAAGAGGTTGGAAGGACCCGAAGTGGTGCGACGGCCTTAAGAATGAACAAAGTGCTTTCGAGAACTAATGATGTCCTCAGAAAAATCGGACGTCATGCAGCGATGGAGCGAATTTTATAGAGAAATGTATGCGTGTGATGATCTTAGTGAGGGATCCGGGGATGACGCCGTGACTGGCACGCCAGACCCGGACCTCGATGACACTGAGGTCATCAGTATGAAAGAGATGGAACGTGCGATTCGAAGTTTGAAATGTGGTAAGGCTGCGGGACTAGACAGAGTTACTGCTGAAATGGTCAAGTATGGTGGGCCTCGCGTCTGGGACAGCTTTCATCTGCTGTGCAATTTGTGCTGGCGGACGGGGGATGTCCCGGATGATTGCCGATCCGCAGTCATTGTGCCTTTATATAAAGGTAAAGGTTCACATTTTGACTGCGGGTGCTATCGGGCGATCAGCTTGACCAGTTTAGCAAGTAAAGTTTACTCGAAGGTTTTGACACGTAGGATGCAAGAGAAATCGGAAAGATTTCTATGGGAGGCACAATGCGGATTTAGACCTGGAAGAGGATGCACGGATCAAATGTTTTCTCTCTGTATGATCACGGAAAAGCTTCTGGCTGTTAACCAGAAGATTTTCTGTGCTTTTGTGGATCTTGAGAAAGCATTTGATAAGGTTCTAAGGAAGAAAATGTGGGAACTGTTGCCGGGGTATGGTGTGGATGGCCGATTGCTAAGGGCTGTGCAGTCTGTTTACTGTGACTGTAAAGCCTGTGTGCGGGTAGGGCATGACCTGTCACCCATGTTTAGCGTCCAAACGGGCGTAAAACAGGGTTGTGTCATGTCTTCCTGGCTGTTCATACTGTATCTCGACAGCTGTTTACAAAAGCTGAAAGATAGCTGTTTGGGTGTGAAATTGGGTGACATAAAAGTAAATTGTCTGCTGTATGCTGACGATGCAGTGCTTATTGCACCATCAGAGGCAGAACTGCAGGCATTAGTCACGTGTATGAAAGAGGAATGTGAAATTAAAGGTCTCCGTTTGAATGCTAATAAAACTAAGATTCTGGTATTTGAAAGGGACGAAGAGAGAACGAAGTGTGAAATATGGGTAAATCAGGAATGTCTAGAACAGGTAAATGAAATTGTATACTTGGGGAGTGCTTTTAGCCGGGATGGAAGATGTGATTTAGATGTGGACAGGCGTGTCGCTGCCGGGAACAAAGTCAATGGTGCCCTGACTGCGTTAGTCAAAAGGCAAGGCGTAGCGAAGAGTGCACGCCTTGCAATACATAACGCAGTGTTGGTACCGACTTTGTTATATGGCAGCGAAACCTGGGTATGCCAGAAGAAGCAAAGTAAGTTGAATGCAGTGGAGATGCGATCTCTTCGTAAAATGTGCGGCGTTACTATGGCCGACCGAAAGCGAAACGAAGAGATTCGCAATATGGCAGGTTTGAAAGATGACCTTAGCACAAAAATTGATAAGGGCGTGCTTCGGTGGTTTGGGCACGTTGAGCGAATGAGTGAAGACCGAATGGTGAAGAAAATATATAGCGCGAAAGTTAATATTAAAAGGTGTCGAGGTAGACCGAGACTAACTTTCGAAGACCATGTGAGCAAATTGCTCGAAGAGGGTAGGGTCAAGAGTACTCGGATACCTAGACGTGCATGTATGAAGAAGATAATGAATCTGAAAGAAGCGAAAGAGATATGTAAGGATCGTGACACTTGGCGATCTGTTCTCTCTGGCTACCCCGTCAGGGATTGTGCGTGAAGATAAGTAAGTAAGATATCATATATATGTATAATATATAATTATGTTATGGTCCAAGTGACCAATTAATCAGGGCACTATTTATAATGTCCGGGCAGTATGAATAATGACAAGTCAAATCAGGCTATGTTAATTAATACTAATTTCAGCTTTATTATTTATCACATTGTATGGTCATTATGAACATTGCTACATAACTTTTTGGCAATTTGATATAAACTAAATATAAATTAATTAATAATGTAGCAAATCTCAAATTATCAAGTGTGAAAATGTGAAGGAAGGGAAAAACCACTTTGTAGTATCCAAATAGCAGCAATGGCGTATACTTTCTTTTGCAATGCAAAAAAATACCTTTGATGAAAAACTTTATTCACATCATGTAAGTGTAAAATATGTATACCTAACCTAACCTATCTTTTTATTACTCTGCCCAATAAGTAACAGACTTATAAAGCCTGGTCAATTTAATTATTTCAATATTTTTTATCATATTGCCTATTCATATTGAGCATTATTAATATTGCCCAGCCATTATGAATAATGCCCTATTAATCACTTCTGAGCCGCATCTATGTGCTGTTTTTGAGAGTCATTACGGATCTTATGCAGACTCGACGACTTCCAGCCTCCTGAACAAGCTGGTTTCCAGAAAGGCTTAGCACCATAGACCACATACATACCCTTCGGCAAATTGTACAGAAGTCCGAGTAGTACAATTTGCCACTATGTCTGGCATATGTGGACTATGAGAAAGCCTTTGATTCTGTCGAAATTTGAGCGCTGCTGCAGTATCTTCAGCGGTGCCAAGTTGACTGTCGATATATGGAAGTGCTGAAGTAATTGTACAGTAGGGCTACAATGGCTATGCGAGCACAGAACGAGAGTACGAAACCTATTCAACTGCTGAGAGGTGTAAGACAGTAGGTCTTAAGATGAACATGGACAATAAAGAGATCATGTGTAGTAACCATGTCACACCTATGCCAGTATTTGTTGGGAGCACTTAGCTAGAATTTGTTGCTGAGCATGTTTACCTGGGACAAATAGTCCGACTAGGTAATTCCAACTTCGACCGAGAGGTCAATCGATGGATTCAACTCCGCTGGGCAGCGTTCAGGAAGTTACGGCACATCTTCTCGTCAGGTATACCTCAAAACTTGAAAACGAGACTGTACCACCAGTGCGTGTTGCCACTGATGACCTATAGAAGTGAGACGTGGTCCTTCAATGCTGGTCGGATGAGGACGCTCAAGGTCGCTCAGCGAGCTATGGAGAGTGCTATGCTCGGGGTTTCTCTGCATGATAAACTTCGAAATGAGGCTATCTGCAGGAGAACCAGAGTGACCTTACCGGTATCGGTACTAAGCCCAACGGATTAGTAAGCTATAGTGGCAATTATCTGTTCCCCGCGACTTCGCGGTTTTATGTTTTTGCGCGGAACTCTTAATTCTTTTTCTAAAATGAAAGTAGCCTAAGTTACTCCTTGTGAAATCAGCTATCTGCCGGTAAAAGTCCCGTCAAAATCGGTCCAGCCGTTTCAGAGATTACCCGGAACAAACAGACAGACAGACAAAAATTTTAAAAATTGTATTTTAGTTATAGGTACTGTACAGTTCATATGCATTTAGTAAAAAACTGTAATTTTGACATTACAAACAGACACTTCAATTTTATTTATTTGTATAGATTGGGCCGGCCTTATAGCTCATAGAACCGACAACCGATGGGGAAAAAAGGTTCTCGAGTGGCGGCCTCGTACTGGCGGACGAAGTGTAGGGCATCCCCCCACTAGATGGAGTGATGACCTGGTGAGACATGCAGGAAGTCAATGGATGCAGGTGGCCCAGGACCGTGCTTTGTGGCATTCCTTGGGGGAGGCCTATGTTCAGCAGTGCACTTGTGAAGGGTACTGCTGAACATAGGCCTCCCCCAAGGCACACTCGGC